CACCTAGGTGAGATAGGTAGACATAGTATCTCTAAGATAACAGCTTTGAGAAGCACCTGGAGATATTTGAGATGATCACAGCATCTCTGCTGAGCACACAGCAGTCAGTAATACTACACAGCACTTGGAAGACAAGAAGATAGCTCCTCTTAAGCAGAGGACAGAAGGGAGTTTCGGTCAATCAAGTAGAATTAGCAAGTTAAATTTAGACTAGAACATTCATCTGCTTCTGTGATAAATGCTACGTGATCTTTGTTGACAACTCAGTATTGCTTCCCAGGACCAGCCTACTGAGAAGAAAGAATACTGTGCACCCAAAATGACTTGCACTAACATCTCGTGATCTCTCATTCAAACACTGATCCTGTCCATCCCTGATCCGCTTACAAGATCTGGAGAGATCATAGCACAGGAGGCCACGGTTGGGAAGTTACTCACATGTTTTTAGAAGAGCAGTGTAGAATCTATTACTGAGGAAGCTTTGCTCACTGCAGTTAACGTCTACTAACAGCTTGGCTTCAGCAAGCCAGGCACAAAGCCCTCAAACAGGCAACGCTGTAACAAAACAAAACCAGAGCAACACCTCAACCACATCCCAGCATCAGATCTTCATTTCCAGTCCAAATCCTGAGAACTGTTTGCTTTTGGATACATTAAGAAGCATCACTGCCAGTGTATTACCCACCAAACAGGGGCGGGGGAGGTTGTAGCATCTCACAAACAATAGACTAACACTGTTAGTCACTCTCCCTTAAACTAGGTAAGTATCAAGCTATTCCTAGTGAAGGATAAGTAAGAAGCTAATGATGGTTATTAATAGCCCTTAAATCTAACAGTTCATCTGAGTTAGATGCAAGAATCATAATCCCTGTATGACCTTCCCTATTTTCATTGGGAAAATAGACAAAGTTTCATGAAAGACTGCTGTTAACCACAGTTTTCAACTGTTTTAATTCTTGAAAATTACACTAACCTGAACCAGAAACTACCAGGCTCCTCTACTTAAAACACTGAGAACTTAAACAGAAACAGCAGGCAGGAGCATTGCTTTTTATCACCTCTTCAAATTCAGTAAGATTTCTACCCCAGACTTCCACAAGTATTGAATGTAAATGTTAATCTGCCATGAGGCATGCCTAGAGTCTATAAATCACACAGCTTGAGAAACTAGATTATAATGATAAAGGTGGTAAGGATTTCTTGCTGTTCTTCACTGTTAGTCACAAATCATTAGCCCAGAAAACTTGCTCTTGTAGCAAGGAAAACTACCACTAAAACCAGCCAAGCCTTAACCTGAAATACAAAAGCTACACCTTGACCAGAAGCATGAAAGAGAAGAAATAGTAAGAGATCTGAACTGTTCAGCTTGATGTTTTTTCCTCTGCACCTCTACTACAAATGTCGATAATTAAACGCATCCATAATCATGAAAGGTAACAGAATGGGATATAAAGCATCTTCTTTCTGGGGAACAGGACAAACACTGTTTTTTCACAGACTAGTGAGTTTCTTTCTCTAAGCACATTGGTACTTCATTTTCTGCTGTTGTGCTGCTCGAGCCCTTCCTCTGAAGGACTTCTTACGATGCAGGTACAGACAAGCCAAAGATCTAGTTTGAAACAGAATCATAGAATCATAGAATAGTTAGGGCTGGAAAGGACCTTAAGATCATCTAGTTCCAACCCCCCTGCCATGAGCGGGGACACCACACACTATATCGGCCAAGGCTCTGTCCAGCCTGGCCTTGAACACTGCCAGGGTTGGAGCATTCACAACTTCCTTGGGCAACCTATTCCAGTGCCTCACCACCCTCACTGTGAAGAACTTCTTCCTTAGATCTAACCTGAAGTTCCCCTGTTTAAGTTTAAACCCATTACCCCTTGTCCTACCACTAGAGCCCCTAATGAAGAGTCCCTCCCCAGCATCCTTGTAGGCCCCCTTCAGATATTGGAAGGCTGCTATGAGGTCTCCACGCAGCCTTCTCTTTTCCAGGCTGAACAGCCCCAGCTTTTTCAGCCTATCTTCATACAAGAACAGAAGTAAGATAAAATTTCAACTGCTACTTGACACTCCACCTTTACTCACCTTGGCTTTAGCCAGAGCTTGGCAGTAAATAGGGGAGATATGTATATGAGTCTGCTCAATCTGCAAAGCACACACTTGTCAACGAACTTGGCCTAAGAACTTAGCCTGGTATTATAAAGCAAGCCGACATATTTATCTTTGAAGTACTAATATTGGCTTTGCTTGTGGTTTGGGGTTTGTTTGATTTTGTTCAGATTGGCAAGTGGCTTTGTACAACTCCAAAACATTTTATGATCACAGTACACACATCTGTTTGAGATGCTTACTGTTGTTCCTACACAGAAAATGTAAGGAGTGTTTCTATCACGTAGTGAAGGTAAGGTAAGAAAATCATGGCACTTGAATCAAACTGTGAAATGTTGCACTTGCTCCTGAAAAACGGTTAGATGTTTGTGCAGAAATCCATGAGAACTGTGTCTAGGCCATCCAGAACACAAACAAATAACTGTGACTGGGGATGCATAAGTGGAATTCACACAACTGAAATATGAAAGTATTGAAGTTACGAAAACGAACTGCAAATGTCTTCTTTCTCAGTTTTACCTAGTGTCCATACCTTGTATGGCAGATGTTACCTAGGGCACAAAAATGATCTACAACTGCTCAGCAGATTTGCTCAACACAGGATCATGCTCCTCTTTATCTTGCAATGGTTTCTATCTCAAACAGAAAAAAGGCAGTTTGAAGTAAATAAAAATATGGCAGTGATAATCCACCATTTCTGTCTCTTGCATCCTATCTCCACTCTACTGCATACTGCAAATATAAGCAAAACTCACAGTCACGGCCAGTGGGTCCTTAGTGCACCCAAGAGATACAGGGACTCTGACTGGCAAGTAGCCTTGAATGTCCTAACTGATGCAATAGGAAAATTTAATTGGATTGGCCAAAGTCAGCACATTAACAACTTGACTGCCTTCCAGCTCATTCGTTAGTTCCAGCATTAAAGGTTAACATGAGAAGCAACACAGTTTGCAGGAGTGAGGAAGAGCACAGAAGGGCCAGGCTGTGGCTCACTTGCACAGGAGTGGCCACAGTGTCAGTACAGCTGTGCACTGAAGATGGCAGGCAGTTGTGGTTCCAGTTGTGGTTTTGGCAGAATACAGGACACTTGTGGGATATAAATGAGTATGCTCATGGAGACAGGAACAACAAAACCTGGGAAACATGAAGTGTTTCCAGGTTAGCCTAATCTATTGTTTGTATAGCCACAGTCCCTGTTATTTCCTCTGCAATACTGCACACATTTAAATACTCTCTAAGGTTTCAAATGTCCCAAAGCATGAAAGTACAACAGCAGCCTGGCAAGGAAAACAATAATCAATATTAAAACTAGTTATCACGAAGAAAACACAGAGGAGATTTGTTAACACTGAAGTTGCTGTGTCAGAAATTAACAAGTTTAGAAGGAGAAGTGGGACTCCCACTTCTGGGCTCATTGCATGGTCAAAGTTACCACAAGTTGTTTGCAGTTTATCAACCTCCTAATCCCCCTACGGGAGGGCAGTTAATTCACAGCAGTGCCCTGCGTGTGGCACAGGGGCTGTTTCATTCTCAGCATGTTCAGTTTCCATACGGAAGGGGACTGGGCAGAAGAAACAGCAGAACCCTCTTACCTAGAGAGCTTCCCAGATGGCAACTATGTGCAGAAGTGAGAGATTCCAGCATACTCCTGAGGCAAGGTAGTTTGTGGATTTAGAGCACCTCATCTGTGAGAGTAACTTCTTGATCGTCTTGGCAACCAAAAGCAGCGTGCCAGCCTAATTAATTACTGGTTTAAGAATATGAAGAGCCAGAATCCATTTTAAGATGTTACTAAGGAAAAGACTCCAAAAAATAACAATGGGCCAACCTATTTCTACTGACTCACTACTGACTTTGGTAGGTGTAATTTGCACAGCTGACAGGTGAGAAGACTAGTCAGGGCAGATAATCCTAACACATCAGGAACAACTTATTTTATCCTACCCAAAGTTAGTCTTAATGAATCCCTTTCTGTAACATGACAGTGCCTTTCTAATCCCTTATGCTTAAGCTACACCTTAGATCTCAGCAGTCCACAAAACAAGCCCTGCTGTTGTACCATGATGTGAATGTTCTCTTGATCTGATTTTATGATAGAGTAAACCTAAAAAAACCACGAAGAGGTTTCTATGTAACTGACAGATAATGTAAAATTCAATGCAGTGCAGTGTACACTAAAGCATGATGCACACTAAGGTCTTAGGGCTGGATCAGAGACACAGTCCAGGAGCAAATAAGGTTGACACATGAAGACTAGACACAGTATACTATTAAGAATTCTTAAGTAGCCTATTGATTAGGTTCTATTAGACTTACAATCATGAGATACTTCAGATATTTTTGCATTCTGGTTCTCATTACTACCACCACAAGACCTCAAAATTATTCCATTCACACACATGCTGCCAAGTTAAAAATACAAATCGTATCTCCAGAAAACAGTAAGTACGGGTGTGTATTTCCTTCCTTGTGAATTCTAGTCACTATGAACTGTAACACAGCTACTAGATGCTGCCAAGAGCAAAAGAAAACAGGATGTATGGCTCCATATAGGGGTTCACACTCCATACTATCTTAAAAAGATAAAATACACCTGTAACAACTTCTGTGACAACAATACTAGAGCCATCATCCAAAATCCCTGTCTTGAATTCTTAGTCAAAACAGAAGGTCGTAGCTTGCATTTTACAGAAGTTCCTCAAAAACAATTTCTAGAATTCTGCAGCCAGCTGCTTTAAAATTGCAAAAATGGGAATATAGAGAGAATTCGGTAACACTCATCTTCACTCAAGGAGTTGGGTCTTTGGAACAGAAGCAGCTCTGATTTGATCACCCCTGTGATTTTATACTTAGATAACTCCCTGTGAAAAATCAAGCATATCTGACAGTACCTGTTCCTCTTTTTCTTTGGTCTTGCTCCTGGAGGCTCTGGAGGAGGCAACATCCTGAGCTGGAATGACAGAGATTTGATGCAGTGGCATGTTCATCACACCGCCTTGTTTGGTCCTATCATTTACAGGAAGGAGGGTTGAAGACAGTGCTTATTCAGTGCCATTGTCAGGCCTTGCACCTAAAAATAAAAATATTAGTGATGTTAAAGTAGGTTGAAATGCAATTATTTCTAAACCAAAGTTAAGCCATCAGTTGGACAAGATGCATCTTTTCTCTCTGGATTTTGAACAGGAGAGTTTGGTGCACTGGTTGAGTGAGAAAAGATGCAGGAGTTTTAAAGAGCTAGAAGTAGACAAGTCACAGCACTATTTATGCAAATGAATGAATAAATAAATTATCAACCAGTTGTGAATGCAGTCCGAGAGCAGAGCCAGAGGGCAGGGATCACACGCTAGTCTGTGTGGACAGGGAGGAGGAGTTGCTCCAAGCTGAGCAACCAGAACATGCTACCTGGAGGTACAGAGCAAAGCTCATGCATGTAGTTTCCTGAACTGCCAGCCCCACCACACTGGATGAAACCACCTCGGACATTATCCTGAATCAGGCTGAATGCTGTAGCTTTGGTTAGAGTCAGTGGCCTGCATTTGGCCCCAGTCATTCACATAAACATGTACCAGCTGGCAATAGGAAGATGCATCATGTGAGCTGTTCTTTTCTTAAGGCTGTTAGAGACTAATATAACCAAAATCCCTTGCTAGAAATCAGGAATCCACTGGACTACACACACATACTTTATCCTGCTTTTACTAATACAACAGGGAAGCATTACACACACGAAAGACAGTGATACCCGTAAATTAGCCAGAATTGACAACACTAATCTGGAAGGCAGGCATAATTAGCCATACCTTTTCTTACATTAGTGAAGTTACTTTAAATAAAAACCTTTTTGAAACATGTAGGATTGTGCAGCCTTTATTTAGAATGTAACCTGCTACAAATGAGACACAATCAATTGTTTAAAGAACAGATTAGAGGGGAATTAAACACAGCAGGGCAACTGGATAATGCACTGTTCTTCTGTTTCCATAACATATCAACTTTTTTGTTGGTTAGTTTTGAGTCTGTGATAGCAGAGAACAGTACCCTATATATTATGTTCCTTAACAATTTGGAAGTAGTATAGCCTAGCACTTAAGTGCATACCCTTAACTTTTATTGTATACATTTTTCATTGAATATTTAATTAATTGGAAGTTTTAAAGATAAGCCAAGTTTCCTAGCTTTTTGATTCTGCAAAAGATGCTGGTCTGGTTCTATTTCAATTAAACTCCACAGAAGTACTGCAGTTGTGCAAAATGAAAACAGGATCAAATCTTTTGACTACTTTTGATTAAATGTCAAGGAAAAAAAAATATATATCTAAGGCACTTTATACATGGAATGATAGTTCAGTATCATCTCTGCACTGAGGGGAAAAGAGTTATCAAAGCTTCTAGAACAAGTTGTGCAAAAATAAAAATGCACACAATGCCTGCTGCTTCCCAATCACACACTCCATTTGCTAGATGATGCTACCTGCCCATTAGAGTGCTCAGCCAAATTCAGAAGGCTTACTGACACACAGTCAGGATTTATATTACTTCCACAGGTACCAAGATGGTGCATCATAAAGCATGCATGAAAGCTTTAGAGGCAATGCCTCCGTAACTTCTAGGCATCACTGATTAAAAAGATAAAACACATCTACATGCATAAATAAGCAGCAACAAGGACACTTCCTTACTGGAGGACAGAAGGGAAGATGGGACTTACAAACATTATTTAATCTCAGCATAAAGAGAAAACACAGAACCTCCCCAGGTCCTCCACACACCTGTTAGCTGTATCCTCTAAGGGAGCCAAGCCAGAGGAGAGTTAAATATGGGCTGAGATGGAAATATGAAACTGCAATAAACAAGGCAGGAAGGGAAGGTATCTTCCCAAGAAAATATAAGGAAATGAAATCCAAGGAATGTTAAGCTCCAGCGAAAATACGCCAAGTAATATATTCTGTGCTACTGCCAGTGATAGCTGAGCCAAGGTGAAAGAGACAGACCCTGCTCTGTGCCCCCCCTCAAAAAGGGTTCTGGGCTTGCAAGCAAGAACATGTTATTACCATAAAGGGAACAAGGAAAAATACTAGAAAACACAGTTAAACCCCTCTGATTATGGAACTAGATGATCTTAAGGTCCTTTCCAAGCCTAAGTGTTCTATGATTCTGTGATTACAACAAACAAGTCAAACCAGTTTTTCTGAAGGTTCTTCAAGGATAACGTGGGTTAGAATTCTTTGAAAGAGTTCAAGCAGCACATATAATCCAATTAGATATTCAAAGAATATGTGCAACAGCCCTCCTCTGTAAAGAAGCCTGTCAGACACTCTAATAAAGCCTGTCTTTGTTCAAGGGTGGCTTAGAAAAAGCTCTAAACGTAACCCAGATGCCACACTGTAGCATCCCCAATCTGGACAGTCCCTAACAACGCACACACTCAAAGCCTGTCCATATCAACCTGAAGCACGTTAACTCCACAGTGCTAATTAAAGGATAAAGTTACATGAATCAACTGACCATCTGCAGTACTGCTTTTCTGTTCATGATGGAAGGACTTTTCAGCTCCTTTTGGCCTGGAAAGCTGAAGTAATCATCTCCTTATCCAGTAATCATGGGATGAATGGATAAGGAGAGAGAGGGTGCATGGAGGACCACTCAGGTCCCATAGGCAGGGCAGTCATCTGTCTGTGAAGGAGGAGGGATCCTACTCTCCTACCCCCGTGGCCGTTCACAGATCGTTTACTGGAGTAAAATACTTAAATAAAACCTCTGTTAGGAGTTTGGGCATTCAGCAAACTATAACAAAAATTATGCCTGCTTTCATAGCTGGACTCTTCAGAGAATTCTTTACTGATGCTGCCAATAACCAGTAAGTCACAAATACAGAATACTGCTCTTGTCCAGGGAGGTTTCCTGCAAACCTGGCTGGGGCACATGGGAATACCAGTACGGAGCACAGCCTGAAGCTTTAGTGTTACCTTCATCTACAGTCACACTGTTTCCTGCAAAATGGATTCCAGACATACTGCATATGGCAGAGGACCTTCAGAAACCATTTCCATTACAAAAGACAAAAGAGGTCAAAATCCTAGCCTCAAAGCCCACAGGAGATCTTAGCTCAGTGGCGCTAAGATTTCACCCATCCAGGTAGTCCAGTTTTGCTTCCATCAGGACAGGAAAAACAGTTACTAAAAATGCCAGTAGACACCTGGAACCACATCAGCTGGGACCTCATCCCATTGTTAGAACCATGAAGCTCCAGCAAGAAAAATCAGATTCAGAGGCAGTGAGACAAGAGTCTCTGAAGGTAGCTGAGAAATAAAAAAAGGAAGGAAAAGAACGCACATGACTTAGGTCTTGTGGCTGGGACATTCCCCTGACAGCAACAGAAGCAGAAAATGAGGTTCCCCTGGATTATCAGCATTAAGTACACAAGGACGGATTACCAACAACAACAGGTAATCTCACTGTAGCAGAAGTAGGTGGGAGACTACTTGAAACCCCACTTCCATCATCTACCCTGTCAGAACCTCAGTTTCCCCAGTGACAAAACAAGAACATAAATCAGTCATGAGATGAACCTAACAGCCTGTTACTTGGTGGACTGTGAGAAGTGACTCCCAGGTGGAGCAAGCTATTCTGCTGTCCCTCACCTGCCACCCACTGCAGCTTCTCTGCTCATTACACATTCCAAAGTAAAGGCTAAACTGCTCTTTGCCAAAGATTCCCAGCTAGACTGGGGCAACAAAGTGCAACTAATGGTTTTCTGTTTGTGGTTTGATATCTACTGAATCTAAAAGCACGGAGTATGAACTGCAGATTTTATTAGGCCATTTACACTTCAGAAAGTCCACCATATACATGGCATATGCTGGAGAGCTTCAGCAGAAGCTCTGGAGCTGTAATGGCACTGGCTGCAGATGTACACAGGCCTTACAAAAAGAAAAGCATCCTGAGAATGTATGTAGGTGTGTACACATGCTTTGCATTACTCACAGGAGAGAAAAAAAAAATAGCAGTCAAATATGTCAGTTGGTGTCCTATTTAAAGTACCATAGGAATTCTGGATTATGAGAGTCTGTCTTGATGTGCATGAAAGGTAAACCCTGGAACCTGTGGTAGAAACAAGCTGATGGTCACTAATGGAAGGGAACTGGAAGGAATTTCACCTGTGAGTCATTCTGGTCTGCCCCAAGGCTTCTTACACTTCTCTAGCCTCCATTAATGACAACAGCTGTATTGCACAGGTCAATGGTCTGATAATCTGTTGTAGGGCAGGTGGTTAAAATTAAAGCAACAGATTGCTGCTGTCTGGATAACTCACACTCTGCAGCACTGTGCACTGCCGTGACAATCCTGCCATGGAACAGACGCAGTCTGTGGACTTCAGGGGACCTACCAGCTGCAGGCTGGAAAGTGCTGCCCTGAGGCTTTGTGGATCACTGCCCTGAACTCATCTTCTGAAACTTCCTCTCTATGCAACACAAAACCCCACCAACCCAAACAGGAATGGAAACCCTCTGAAGAAACCTCTGACTGCTGCTAGATGATATAATACCATCTTTATCAGCTGCCTTACTTTCTCCTAGAGAGACCTGAAATAATCTATTAATGCAGATGTGGAATGTGTTTTTCTGCTGGAGGTCTTGATGCGAATCTTCAAGCCCCATTAAAAGAATTCTTTGTTTTGTTGTTGTTCTGAAGGTAACAGAAGCCTTTATCCACTGACCTTAGCAAATTCCTCTGTGCATCTTAACTTTCCTTACTTTCACTGACATATAGCTTATGCCTACTTTCTATACACTACATTTTCCATATTTGAAAATATTTCCAATCCTATTAGCTTGTGTTAGCTCCAGTTTAAAGCTTTTATTTATTTTAGTTTGAGCTTGCCTGGACTCCTCCCCTACTAATGTAGCTTACATAATCCTTTTCTTGAGATGACAGATGTGCATTTTCAAAAAGAGGATCCTGCATCTGTGTTTCATTTTGTTTTACTG